CCTTGCCTCGCCTTGCCTCGACGAGCGCACGCACGGCCACCCAGAGTCAGCAGCAAGCAGCAGCAGCCAGCAGCGAGCGAGCGAGCCAGGCCGTGGCTCTCTCTACCCACGCACGCACAGATCGCGACCCACGGTCCGCCCGCCCGCCCTCTTGCGTGGCTCGGCCCACGCCCCGTCCATCGGACCGTCTGTCCCTGGCCCTCCCTCCCCTCTCGGCCAGCCAGCCAGCCAGCCAGCCATCGCCTGCCACCCCCCGCGCCATTCTTCTGCCTCGTTGCTCTGGCTCCTTCTGCCTCGCCCGTTCTCTCTCTTCCATCACCACCACCACCACCACCTCCTCCCCCTTCTCCTGCTACACAGCACCAGCACCTCGCCTCCCCTCTTGCTCTTTGCTTCACTGCATCCGGCAAGATACTGTCCGCAGCTGCCAACCGCATCTCTTCCGTTGCTAGCCACCTCCGCACCGCAAACATGTCCACCCAGGCTGTGTGAGTACCATGCGCGCGGCTTGGCTCCGGGCGCTCGTGTACCGTGTCGACCCGATCGGACCCACCAGCTGACCGCCTGAATGGATCGTCCCGCTCGCTCTCGCCCGTGATTGCTCCCTTTGCTTTCCAGCGCTGACATCGGCCTGATCGGCCTTGCCGTCATGGGCCAGAACCTGATTCTGAACATGAACGGTGAGTAGAGTCTGTGCAGCGGCGGGTCCCTCGATGAGCGCCACTCGGTGCTGGTCCATCGTGATGTTGAGCGACCGCCTGTCTGCAGCGGCAGCTTCACGACGAGGGATCGTCTTTCGAAGAAGCGCGCAAGGTGCACCTTGCTGACCCCGCCGGCCTACCGCTTCTTGTCGCCGCTTCACGCTCACAGACAAGGGCTACACGGTCTGCGCCTACAACCGTACCACGTCCAAGGTCGACGACTTCCTCAACAACGAGGCCAAGGGTGAGTAGCGGAGCAGCCGAGCAGTGCCGGCGATAGAGGAAAAAGGAGAGATGGCGGGCGTGAGAAAGAGAGGGGGCTTGAGAGAGAGAGGGAGCGAGGTGGTCACTCCGCCCGAGCGTCCTTGCTGAAATCCGCCCTGCGACCTGCGCACACCGCCCACCCTATTGCCGTCGCAGGCACCAACGTCGTCGGTGCCCACTCGGTCGAGGAGTTTGTTGCCAAGCTCAAGCGCCCGCGCAAGATGATCATCCTCGTCAAGGCCGGTGCCGCCGTCGACGCCTTCATCGAGCAGCTCGTCCCGCACCTCGAGAAGGGCGACATCATCATTGACGGCGGCAACTCGCACTACCCCGACTCGATCCGCCGCACCAAGGAGCTCGAGGCCAAGGGCCTCCTCTTTGTCGGCTCGGGCGTCTCGGGCGGTGAGGAGGGTGCCCGCCACGGCCCCTCGATCATGCCCGGTGGTTCCGAGGCCGCCTGGCCCGCCATCAAGGAGATCTTCCAGAAGACGGCGGCCCAGAGCGACGGCGAGCCCTGCTGCGACTGGGTCGGCGGCACCGGTGCCGGCCACTACGTCAAGATGGTCCACAACGGCATCGAGTACGGTGACATGCAGCTCATCTGCGAGGCCTACGACATCCTCAAGCAGGGCCTCGGCCTCAAGGAGACCGAGATCGGCGACATCTTTGCCGAGTGGAACAACGGCGTCCTCGACTCGTTCCTCATCGATATCACGAAGGACATCCTCAAGTTCAATGACGAGCAGGGCGTCCCGCTGGTCACCAAGATCCTCGACTCGGCCGGCCAGAAGGGTACCGGCAAGTGGACCGCCATCAACGCCCTCGACCTGGGCCAGCCCCTCACCCTGATTGGCGAGGCCGTCTTTGCCCGCTGCCTGTCGTCGCTCAAGGGCGAGCGTACCCGCGCCTCGCAGATCCTCAGCGGCCCGCAGATCAAGCCGTTCGAGGGCGACAAGAAGCAGTTCATCGCCGACCTCGAGCAGGCGCTCTACGCCTCCAAGATTGTCTCGTACGCCCAGGGCTTCATGCTGATGCGCGAGGCGGCCAAGGAGTACGACTGGAAGCTCAACAACCCCTCGATCGCCCTCATGTGGCGCGGAGGTTGCATCATCCGCTCCGTCTTCCTCAAGGACATTACGGCGGCGTTCCGCAAGAACCCCGAGCTTGAGAACCTGCTGTTCGACGACTTCTTCAACAAGGCCATCCACAACGCTCAGGAGGGCTGGAGGCGAGTCGTGGCCCAGGCCATCCTCTGGGGCATCCCCACGCCGGCCTTCTCGTCGGCGCTCGCCTTCTTTGACGGCTACCGCCGCGAGACGGTCCCTGCCAACCTCCTCCAGGCGCAGCGTGACTTCTTCGGTGAGTGCTTGTGCCGTCGCGTGGCCGGGGGCGTGGCAGCTGCATGCGAGTGGCGCGCTGACACATTTCCTCACCCTATCGCTCCTACCTTGTTTCTCCCTCTGGTCTTCTCTTCGAAATCGCAGGCGCTCACGGTGAGTTGCTCCTGCCTCTCGTGATCGTTCGCCCGCCTGCCGCTGGCCCCGAGACTGACCTTGAAATCTGCTCTGCCCTGCTCGCTACCGGACATCCCCACACCACAGGCTACCAGCTCCTGCCGCAGTACGCCACCGACAAGCAGCCCGCCGGCACGTGGCACCACACCAACTGGACTGGCCGCGGCGGCAACGTCGGTGCCTCGAACTACGACGCCTAAGCGCGGGATCGAGCTCGGTTCTGCGTCCCGTTGTGAGAAGAGAAAAGGAAAAGAGCGCGGCGCTCGCTCGCCCGCCGAGGCGACGCGAACGCCTTGTGCAATCGTACTCGTCCTTATCCGGACTAGATGTGGTGGTGTGTGATGCCTTCGTCGGCGGCAGGGCCGAGGTGTCCGGCTGCGTCGTGCCGAGTCGAGAGGCAAGCAAGGCAGGCAGCAGCTGTTTGGTCGGAGGTCCGGTCCGGAGGAGCCGACCCGGAGGCACTTCGCCTTGCCAGATACATAATGGCAGGACGAGGCCACATGGATGGGCTCGACCCAGCGGCTGTCTGGGCCCGATGCCACCTAGCCTGCCATGATGGTGTTGGGCTTTCTCTCAGGCGGTCCTGTATGTACTGCCGATGCGCGTGCGGCCTCGACACCGGAGATAGGCCTGCCTGTGATGCCGGGGGGTCCTGGAGATACGGGGGCCAGTCAGGCTAGGATGGACGCGCGGCAGGCAGCAAGCTAGGCTGGCTGGACGAGGGCTGCAGGGTCTGACGATGTGTGTTGGCGTGGGCCCTGCAGATCACCCTGCCTAGCCCAACCTAGCCTGCCTGCCTGTCGTCACCCTCGAGAGAGTGTCGGTCGGGTAAGCAAAGCAAGCAAGCAAGCAAGCAAGCAAGCAAGCAAGCGGCCGGTTGTGACCTCCTCTCGACGACGACCTCAGTTGCTTGGAGCATCGTATCACCGACCGCCTTGGCTCGCAACGCTGGCCAGCCTCTCAATCACCTCTCTGGGCCCATCCTGTCTTCTAGCCTCGCATCTCATTTGCCGCCATGTCGTCGTCGTCGACTGCCGCCGAACCGCTCAAGAACGTCGTCGTCGTGGGCGCCGCCTCGGGCATCGTGACGGCCAACCTGCTCGCGTCCAAGCTGCCGCCCACGCACCGCCTCGTCCTCATCGAGGCAAACGAGGTGGCCTTCTGGCCCATTGGCGCCCTCCGCGCCGCCGTCGAGCAGGCCTTTGAAAAGGAGATTGTCGCACCCCTCACCCACCTCTACCAGGACCACCCGCGCCACGTCGTCCTCAACAAGACCCGCGTCGTCGGCCTCGAACCCAACGCCGTCATCGTCGACCGCCTCGCACCCGAGCACCTCGACCTGGCCGCCTCGGGCACCCCCGCCGCTGGGGCGTCCGAGCGGAACGGAGGAGGGCACCGGATCGAGTTTGACCGCGCCGTCTTGGCCCTCGGATCGTCCTACTCGTTTCCGTCGCGCACTGTGGCGCCCGAGGAGGCCAAGATCCTGGAATCCTTCCAGACGGCGCAGAGGGAGATCGAGGCCGCACAGCACCTGCTCGTCATTGGCGGCGGTCCCGTCGGAGTCGAGTTTGTGGGCGAGGTGCTGGAACGCCACCCGCAAAAGGCGAGCGGCATCACGCTCGTCACCAACAGCAACCGCCTCGTGTCCAAGGACGGCAAGCAGGAGGGCGTCCACGACAAGCTGCTCAGCCAGCTCCAGAAGAAGGGCATAAACATCGTGTTCGAGGACGAGGTCGACTTCGGCGACGTCCCCTTGCGCACCGGCGCCGTCGAGGGGGGCCGCAAGACGTTCAAGACCAAGAACAAGGGCGTCGAGATCCACGCCGACTACCTCCTCGACGGGACGGGCGGCAAGCCCAACACATCGCTCGTCGCCTCGGTCGACGCGTCGGTGCTCAACGGCGTGGGCGCCATCAAGGTCGATGCGGCGCTACGGGTCAAGTCGGACGGGTCGTCGTCGGCCTTTGACTGGTCCCGCTACCTCGCCACGGGCGACTGCAACGACCTCCCCTGCGCCAAGACGTGGTTCGCCGCCGAGGGCCAGGCCAAGACGGCCGCCCACAACGTCCTCGAGCTCATCAAGGCCGAGGGCGGCCCGACGGCGTCGCACCCAAAGGTCCAGGACGCCAGCATCCCGCCCAACATGATTGTCGTCCCCCTCGGCAAACGCGGCGGCGCATCGCAGCTGTTTTTCGTCTCGCTCGGCGGCTGGTTCACCAGCTTGGCAAAGGGCAATAGCCTCTTTGTCTCGCAGTTCAAGGGCTACTACAGGTAGGCCGACGGACGCCGTGGTCGTTTTTGCAAGATACCCCCGGCGGGACCGTGATCCCGTCCGTCATCGTTCCTTCTTCTTGTCTTTCTTTTGAACAGGTATTTCACCCTCCTACCAGTCTCTACCTAAAGAACGAGTCATGAGATAAGCAAGCGTAGAGCGTATCGGGCATGGCCCGGTCTAGGTTCCGCAACGGGGGCCTCAGATCTTGGCGTCCCTGTTCTTGGCCAGCTCGACCTTCCTGACGTCAAACTGGACGCGCGGGAAGTGGGCGAGGAAGGCGCCGTTTCCGACGTTTGTGCGGACGAGGATGGTGATCTGCGTCGGGTCGAGGGCGACGAGGCTGCCCTGCTGCGGCACCTTGCCCGTGTCGGTGGGCGTGACGAGGACCTGCTGTCCGGCGCCGTCGACCCAGCCGGCCTTGACGAGCGGGTCGGATGCGCTGACGCGGGCGTCGTTCTGCGCCTTTGTGATGGACGCGGGCTCGGCCTGCTCGAGGATGAGGGTGGCCGCCTCTTCGGCCTTGATCGACTTGGCCTTGGCCAGGCCCTGCTGCGCCAGGTGCCTCTTGACGTCCGACAGCCACGCGACGACGCGCGGGAAGGGCGTCGTCGACTCTGCGCCGCCGCCGCCGTTCTTGGCCTCCTTGGGCAGCAGGTCGCGCGCGGTGCCAAACGACTGGACCCACTGGAGCGGGACAAAGGTGCAAATGTCGACGTACGACACCTTTTCGCCGACCAGGAAGCGACCCGCCTGTGCGCCCGCACCGGAGCCGGAGCCAGAGCCCGAACCGGCCTGCTGCTGCTGCTGCTGCTGGGCGAGGTGAGCCTCGATCGAGGCGAGGTGCGCGTACAGCTGCGACTGGCTGTAGGGCAGGTTGGCGGTGACGGCCTCGGCGCTGAAGGGCACTCCGGGCATGAACTTGGATCGGTCGGCCACAAAGGCGGGCGTAAAGGCCGCCTTCGGAAGGTGTCCGACGGCCAAGCGGAAGAGCTGCGTCTCGGACCACGTCGCTGCGGCGGCGGCGGTTGCAATCGGGGTCCACCGGGCGAGGGCAGCGGCAGTGAGGGACACGGTTCAGCAACGAGACGGCCGACGACGACGACGAGGAGGGTGAAGGGGGCGAAGTCTCCCAAACTCACCGGACAGCTGGACCTGGATGATCTCGTCGCGCTTGTCAAAGAGGCTGTGGCCGTGACCGGGCTTTCCGCCAAAGGCGGCCTCGAGCGCCCTAGCGCACAGGGTCGTCTCAAAGTAGGCCTGTCCATCGAGGAACATGACTACCGGTGAGTCGGGCAGGGGAGCGCAGCAGAAGGAGCAGAGTTGAGCCGATGGTGCTCCTGGATTCCTCCTGTCCCCTCTTTGGTCACGGCAGCCGACCAGAGGGATCAGGGGACGGGGACGACGGCGTGAGCAGCCACCACCACCACCACCACTAGCAGCACTCACCAGGGATCCTGCGGTAGGTCACGCCGAGCAGCTCCGAGAGGGCGGGACGCGGCGGCATGGGCGCGACCTTGACGACGACAAAGTCGACCTTGTAGTGCGCCAGGAGGAAGAGCATCTTCTGGTAGAACGGCGACGCATCGTAGCCGTACAGGACCACGCGGGGCGACGAGGACGAGGAAGACATGGTCGGGACGGTGGCGTAGCGCGTGCGTGCAGAACGAGACGATGGGGGATGGGGGGGTTGGTGGTGGTGGTGGTGGTAAGGTGCGGCGGGATGGGGAGCAGAGCAAAGGAGGATGGGAGCCCCCCTCTCCTCTCCACGAACCAAGGGAAGGGGAGATTGCGGGGATACCGTAGCTGGGAAGGCTGGCAGGCAGACAGGCGGGGGCGGCTCGATGGGCACCGGTAATGGCACAGGGTCGTCTACCGGTCTACCGGTAGGTGCGTAGGTCTTCGCGGCGCCCGCCTCTCCGCCCAGTCTGCCAGGCCGGCCGGCTCGCAGCTGCAGGGCACCTGACGACCCAACCAACCAATCCCCCCCCCAAATGCCGGCATCCATCGTCAAGCCAACAGCTTCGCATCGCACGCATCATCGACCAGCGGCCACGATGCCATGAGCCCAGGCAGGCAGCTCTGTCCATCCCTGACGACGCGTATGGGCGAGAGCTTACGAGAGGGCAGACCATGTGCAGCGAGCACCTCACCTCGTCTCGCCTCGCCGAGCTGCGATCTCGACAGACTCCCGCCGCGAGCTCATATAGCTTTGCAGAGCGAGCCGAGGAGCCCCTCTCCCCTCCGCCTCGATCACGACAACGTCCAGACGGTGAGCCTCGCACGGGCTTATGTTGTGGTGACGATCCCGTCAGACGCCCCCGCTCCCGAGTGCACTTTCACCAACCTTCCTCGGCACAATCCCGCTCCGGGCACGGGCCAAGAGCCGTCGCCGTCCTCTGCCTCGTCCGACGCAACCATCACTCGGGCTGCCAGAAGAGCGCCTCCCAAGCTCGACGCAAGGCTGCACGCAAAGGGCTGTCGATGGGCGCATCTGGTGAGTGGATGAACGGAGAGCGGTACAAGTACAATGCAAAGACGGATCGGTGCAGCCCGGAGAGAGGTACAAGGGCGGAGGGAGGACGAGATCGTCAAACGTCGTCTTGTCGATGGCTCAGGACCTCGAAGCAGCTTCATGGCGTTGACGAGCGGCGGTCTTGGCATCGCCGCTGGACGAGGTGCCATCACTGGTCCATCGAGGGCCGGCGCCACCGACACAGCTACTCGTCCTGGATGTTGTGCTGAGCCTTGAGCTCGGCCAGCTCGGCTTCCCGCTTAGCCAGGTCCGCCTTTGCCGCAAGCCTCGCCGGCATATGATAGAGCACTGGGCAGCGCGCGGGAACAGGCCAGGGCGAGGGGGGAGAGGTGCACGAGAGACGTCAGCGTGTCGTTCTCGCTTCGCGGCACATGCTCGCAAGCTGCCGCTGCGACTTCGACTACCTTTCTCGAAGCCAACGCCCCCGTCACTCACCGACAATGTAGCGCTCCTGGAGGTGGAAGCCGTTGAGGTGGTCCAGCGCGCGCTTGGCATCGGCCATCTCTTCGAACACGACGTAGGCGGTGCCTCTTGTCTTTGGCCCGTCGCCGATCCGGATCTGCCGCAGGGCGCCGTAACGGCCAAAGAGCTCGTACAAGTCCGAGCCTGGCGAGGGAGGGGATGTAAGGCACAACAGTTCGAACAAAAGGTTAACGATCTGTGTCAGCGGCAGTGCACTTCTTCCGCTACTTGGCAGATGGAGCCGCTTATGGAGGTGGCAAGAAGGAGACCCACCCTGGGTCTGGTAGTTGAGGTTCTTGACAAAGAGGATGCGGCTGTGCTGCCTCTGTTGCGAGGACACGGCGCTCATAGTGGCGGATCCTGGCTTGGCTGGCGGGCGGCTCTCGAGCGGCTGCGGACGATGCTGAGCGGTGGCGGCGAGGTACGGTGGTGGAGGTGATGGTGTGCGAGGGCGGCAAGCACAGGCTCGAGAGACGCAACAAGGGCCGCTCTCGGCTCCGCCCGCCCGCATCCAACCCTAGCTCCTTCCATCCACTTCCGCGATCCGAGAAAAGATGAGGAAGGGGGCGGGCAAGAATTTTTACGGGTGCGGGCCTGCAGCTGTCTGCCGCCGTGCTTGCTGGTGCTTGCTGGTGCTTGCTGGTGCTTGCTGCTGGCTGCTGGCTGCTTCGGCGGGCTGGCGGGCTGGCTGGCTGACTCGGAAGACGACCGAGAGCAGGCGAGCTCCCAAAAAAAGTTGGCCGTATCCGAAGCGTCGGGAACGGCCCCGTCCACCACCTGCTCGCTCCATCTATCCACCCCAGCCTAGCCAGCCTCTTGCTGCCCTTGCACCAACCCTCTGTTCCGAGTCGCTACCATCTCTGCCAATCGCCCAAGCTGCTCTCTCCATCTCCCCTCCGCTCCTTTCTCGCTCCGCTGCTCCGTCAAGGTGAGTGTGGCCTTATCTCGAGGCTGACGGATCGGCCCGCCTTCGGCTCCCTTCCGATGCCTGCTTGCTTCTGCCAGGTGCTGCCTGGTGCACAGCCCCCGTAGATGAGCGAGGCTACGGCCTCGTCATGTACGGGCTCTACTGGTCTGCTGGACAGCGCGCATCGTTCCGGCTCAGTCCGCTCTTGCCAACGCTCCCGGTCTAGCCTCTCTCGAGCAACGGTTGTTGGGCCCGGACGTACGCCGAGGGCGTAGAGGCGGTGGGGGCGTCGACCACGACAACATATGATGTTCAACACATCCGTTGGCTCGCCCTCACTCTCTCACCATGCTGTCACGCTGGCTGTCTCTCGACTGCTGGCAGGCCGACCGTCGTGCGGATAGCTCCCCGCTCCTTCCCTCCGTTGGGGGCAATGGCTCGCCATCACTCCTCCCGCCTCGCCCCTTACGTCCCCCCCTCCTCCCGCTGAGCTGCCCGGTTTCAACAACACCGTTCCGAGCCTCCGACACTTACCCACTCATCGTCAAGGGCTCTGGTCTGGTACGCCCTCCGCCCTGCTCCTCTGCCCTCTCTCCCTTTATATGCTCTCTCGAATGCCTCGCCTTTGCCGCCGCCCTGTCCCCATCTCCTTCTCCCCAGTCTTTTCGCTTGCTGCTCGCGGAGCTCAGCGCCTCGCTCCCTGTCGCGACATGGCCGCATCGTCTCACAGCTTCGCCTCTGCTCGCTGCAACTGTGAACGCATTTCCTTCTCTAACCATCTTGCCCCGGTCACCCATCGTCTCCGCTCTTCAGTGGCAGCCGCACCCCCGCCAGCTCTCACCTCGAGCGCCTCCCCCCTCGCCACCACACCGGCTCTCTCCAACTGCACCTCCAGCGCACCGAGCCCTGCCCTAGCAACACCCTCCCTACCTGGAGTCAAGTCCTTCATCAGCACTTCCGCCTCGCCCTCGGCCGCCGACAAGCAGCACGACAAGCACGTAGACGAAGCCAGCCCGGACGCCTCCATCGACCTAGCTCGCCTCAACTCGCTCCTCTTCCAGCTAGCCCAGCCCGTCGAGGCGCCTGCAGCGTACACCACCGCCGCACCTTCCGCTTCTGCGTCTCCCTCATCCTCGTCCTCTGCGGCTGCCACCCCGCGTCTCACCCCCCGCCTTCGCGGCAACGGCACGCTCCGGGAACCGCGCGACAAGCGAGCCGAGCGCAAGTCCAAGTTCGAATCCCTACTCGACACCTTCCACCAGGCCACCTTCTGCACCTTTGAGCCGCAGCAGTCGAGCTACCACCTCTCGGCCAGCGACCTCGTCTCCGCCTTCGACGAGCAAGGCCAAGCCATCACTCCCATCGCGCCCAACGACGTCCTCCGCGGCATCGCCAGCAGCATGACTGAACCCGCCGTCCAGCACCAGGCCGCCTCTGGCTCGCTCCCCAGCGAGGAGAACCCGGGCAAGCTGATCCAGGCCTCGGGCATCGCCGCCCCCTACCAGGAAGCCATCAAGGAGGCCATCCAGGCGCGCGTCGACGCGGGCAAGTCGCGGCCCAAGCTCGTCGGCATCCTCGCCACGCCCAGCCCGCCCAGCGTCGCCTACGCCGAGTGGACGCGCAAGGCGTGCGAGGCCGTCGGCATCGAGTTCGAGATCTGGAAGACGTGGGACGACGCGGCCGTCGCCGCCAATGACGAGGGCGGCGAGGCCAACCACGCCGGCACCGCGCCCGACTTCGACCTCGAGGCCGACGTCGAGGACCTCATCATCGCCGCCAACGCCGACGACAAGGTCCACGGCATCATGGTCTACTACCCCATCTTCCACGGTCGCCAGGACACGTACCTGCAGCAGATTGTCGACCCGCGCAAGGACGTCGAGGGCCTGCACTTCAGCTACTGCTGGAACATGTACCACAACGTGCGCTGGGTGGCGCCCAAGCAGCTCGGCAACGCCCCGGGCACGACGCAGGAGGTGTCCGAGGGCGCCGACCAGGAGGCGTCGAGGAAGCTTGAGGAGACCGACGGCGAGCAGGTGCCGCCGGGCATGGCCAAGTCGATCCTGCCCTGCACCCCCTTGGCGATGGTCAAGTGCCTCGAGTCGATCGGCGTCTACGACCGCAACCTGCCCTACGGCGACCGCCTGTACGGCAAGACGATCACCGTCGTCAACCGGTCCGAGGTCGTCGGCAGGCCGCTGGCCGCGCTGCTGAGCAACGACGGCGCCAAGGTGTACTCGGTCGACATTGACAGCATCCAGGAGTTCAA